ATAGGGATAGCAACATCAGTAGTGACTTAACTCGGAATCCAGGATGCAATTTGGGCATTATTAATCTTCCAAGTCTGCAACCCTTTTGCATTAGTCACTTCAAGAATAGTGGAGGATCCATCAATATAGCCCCACAACCCCTTGCCTTCAACATAAAATTGAAAATGGAACTGCCATAAGGCATAGTTGGTTCCATTGAACTTAATAGGAAGAAAATCACCTCTTTTAGATGCCATAATAAAGGAAAAGATGAAGAAAATAGTTCTCTAACAGGCTGAAAACAACAAAGGAATATGTTTACAGTCCAAAAGGGAAGGTTCACAGACAAACCGAACAAAAGGAGGGATCAAAACCCCAGCAAACCAACTCCAGTCTTCAACAAATTCCTAGCGCTGTAGGAACAGCCTAGGGTGACACAAGATCTAAATATTTAGAGCAAACAAACCAGTTTTTTGAAAGAAAAACCCAAAAAACTGACTTGAGTAGCATCTCAATCCAGAAAATCCAGATTTCTTGTCTTGATCAGAACAGTCCAAGAAAGATGGATATGGTAGTCTGAAAAGGTTGAGAAATAGACCCAACTTGATGCTGAATATAAGAGAACAAAGTTTGAGATCAAATCCAAATAGAACAAACCTCGCGTGAACAATGGACGAGAACAATAACATGAATAATAACCGTGAACAGTAACTCAATTGTTAGTCTTCCATGGTTCACTAAAATAATTCCTACACTAAACCTACTCCGATACCATGTCAGTGCAGTTCGTACAAGAGAGAACACAACAAATTTGGGGCAGGTCTAATGTGTCGACCACACCAAGAAGACGCTATTTATATTAAAAGATGTAAAAGAACACTTTTGTCCTTATAATACAATAAGTATGTACAAGGTAAAAAGAATAGAAAACGAATGGAACAACATGAATAAGATTTAAAAGAACACTTCTGTCACTAGATATGTACCTGTCTCCGACTTTCCTCACTGCTAACTTAGGACAAGGTAACTTCATCTTTTGCTAGAATATTCTGTCTTGCAATGTCATACTCGGGATTGAGTCTAGTGAGGAACTCAAAGACCTGATTTCTCTCTACTAACTTCCCATGAGTCTTAGAATCTTTAATACACCCCCACACAACAGTCTCCATCAAGTCAATCTCCTTCCAAAGAGATATCAGCACAAAAAAATAAACAGCCAAAGGTTTCTCCCCCTGTCTTAAATTATTGACATCATTCTTCAGCTTGTAAGCCCTAGCAAGATTGAACTTCTGGAAATAGGTCTCGGTAATGCTGTCCCACACCTCTTTTGCAGTCTCCATCCACAAGTAATGCTGACTGACATGAGGTTGCATGGAATTCACTAACCAACCTACTACAATGTAGTTTCCTTGCATCCACCTCTCATAGGTAGGGTCATCGCCCACAGATTTCTTCTTGGTCCTAGTGATGTACCCCCATTTCCCCCTACTACATACATGAATCTTTATAGACTAAACCAAGCTAAAATATTGGTTTCATCCAACTTTATTGAGATTACTGCCCCTAACAGAGTCTCCACAGACCCTCCTGGACCAAACCCGTAGTCGGTGGAGAGTTTAATCTCACCTCTAGTTAGCTCCATTGGCCATATGGAGATAAACGAAAATCAAAACAGGGTGTTACTAGTCAAAACTTATTGTCCTAAGTCAAAAACTGCTCTTTAAACAACCAAATTAGGGTTTTCACCAGACCTGGCCACCTGTAATGGGATTTTCAACAAAGATAATAAGTTGGAAGGCTAGAGAGGACACTTTTAATTAAAGTTATTCTCCCTCCCAATGAGAGGTACTTTGACTTCTAACCATCCAACCTCCTTTCAACTCTCTCCATTATTGGTCTCCACAAGGCACCAGAATTTGAAGCTCCTCCTATTAGCATATCCAAATACGTGAAAGGAAGCTTTCCAATTTTGCACTCAAAAGCATTGGCACAGTCTAGCAGCACTTCCTCCTCGATAGCTCCCACTCCAATCACCACACTTTTTGCAAGATTAACCTTCAGACCTGATAACAATTAAAGTTTTGCCAAAATTGCCCTCAAATTTGACACTTGTTCCACCAAAGCATCCAGGAAGATCAGAGTATCATTTACCATATTGTAGATGAGAACCTCCATGATCAAATCCCTTTGCATACTTCTCCACAAAAGTAGGTTCAGAACCTCCATGATCAAAACAAATAACATTGGGGAGATTGGATCTTCTTGCTTCAAGCCTCTTGTAGCTTGAAAAACTCCGAGGAAATTCCATTTAGAAGGATCGAAAATGAAACTATAGACATGCATGCATACATCCAAGATCTCCATCTTTCTCCAAAACCCATTAACCTTCGAACTTCCTCTAAGAATCTCCATTCAAACTAGGCCTGGTCTCCCACTTCTTAATCTGGCATCAATGCAATCACTTGCCACTAAAACTCCATCTAAAATCTGTCTCCCTTTCACAAATGTCATTTGTGACTCCCCTACAACTTCATGTAGAACTCTTCTCAACCTTTTTGATAAAACTTTAGCCAACAACTTATATGGGCTGCTAATTAGACTTATTGGTCTAAAATCTTTTAGATTCATTGCACCTTCCTTCTTTGGGATCAAGGAAATGAAAGTAGAATTTGTTGATTTCTCCAAAATGCTCCAGCATGACTTTATGAATGTAAAGTTGAAGTCGTCTGGCCCGGGGATTTGTCCCCATTTATGTCTTTTAAGGCCTCTTTGATTTCCTCCAAACTGAAGTCACTTCCAATCCAGGAGGATAATGTTTCACTCAGCTTTTTGGGAACCAGCTCCCCTAGAAACATCCAATTCTACACTCTTGAAGTATACAGCTTCTTATAGAAATCCACTACCCTCTCCTGAATTCCTGACCACTCCTCCACTACCTCCCCATCTACCTGAATTCTTGAGATTAAACTTCTTCTCCTCCTTGCACTAGCATAGGCATGAAAAAACGTTGTATTTTTGTCACATGCTTTCAGCGAAGTCAGTCTGGACTTTTGTCTCCAACTTTCCTCCTCCCTATGAATCAAAGTTTTCAACTCTAACTCCAATCTGTCTCTCTCTGCTCTCTCTTCTCTAGATAGATCCCCCACCTCTTCCAGCCTATCTAAGTTGGCCATTTTCTCTAAGATTTCTTTTTTTCTTACCCCCACATTACCAAAAACCGACACATTCCATCTCTTTAATTCCTCCTTCAGAAACTGCAACTTTCTAACCAATTTCAACCCCATTGATCCCTTCACTTGCAAACCTTTCCATTTTTCTTTCACCCAATCCAAGAAATCTGCGTGATCCATCCACATGTTCTCAAATTTAAACGGTCATGGGTCTGAAGTCACTACCAACTTTCTCAGCAGAATTGGCTTATGATCTGACATAATATATGGTAAGGCTTCTTGGATCAAATGACCTTTGTGGTCCACCCAATCTCCAGTATAGAGGAATCTATCCAGCCTTCTTAAAATAGGAGGAAATTGTCCATTTTTCCAGGTATATTTGCAACCATTTATGGGTGGGTCAGTTAGGCCATTTCTCCTGATAAAATCCCCAAAACTCCTCGCTCCTGCACTTTCACTTTCATCCCTCCCCCCTTCCATCTCTTCCACTCTTCTAACAATTTTGAAGTCTCCTCCCAGACACCACGGACCTTACCACTCCCTTCTCGCTTCTTCCAGCTCCTCCCACATTGTCACCCTTTCCCCTTCTACGTTTGGACCATAAACATTTGTGAGACCCCATTGCCATCCCCCTTCCACCATCTGAAAGCAAATTGAGATGGAATATCTCCCTTTTTCTACCCCCAATTTCTTGATACTTTTGGAATTCCAAAACACCACCAAGCCTCCCGGTAGGCCCTCCGCATTCACCTCTGCCCAATCTACACTACTTGAACCCCAAATCTCATTCTTCAAGATCATGTCAAAGGCTTCCAGCTTAGTTTTTTGTAGTAGCACCGTATCAGGATATTGAATTCTCAAAAAACTTTTCACTCTCCCTTCTATCTTCTCTCAGCCCTCTCACATTCCACGTAATCCATTTCATTTTCTATTGCAGCCTCAACCCTCTTACTCTGCCAGCTGTTACTCTTCATCAACCATGACCTCCACCTCCCCTTCCCCTTCCTCCCCCTGCTCTTCCTCTCCTTCCACAAAAGTAACTGCTAGAGCAGTTTGAAGGGAATAAGATGGAGAAAAAGAATGAGATACCTCAATCTCCCTGCTCTGATACCATGTAACAGAGCTGTATTAGTATTCGGACAAGGAAGAGAGAGAGAGGCAAGGGAGAGAAGAGAAAGAGATATTAGACAAGAGAACAGCCGAACCTCTCTTAGAAGAGAAAATTAGAGTCTAATCTCTCTAAGAAAGTTGGCCCAGCACATATATATTAATAAAGAATAAGTGCAAGTACAATAATGCCCCTGTTTATGATAATTCTAGGACTGGAGTGCCTTTATTTTCTTTTGGTAATTACTAGATTACCCTGCCTCCCAAGACTTCAACATAGAACAGCTCTCTCAACAATCAGGTTTCTAACAATGAAGGATCTGCTTTAAATCTCTTTCCAGTTTCAATTAGCTTGCTTTCTCCCATTGATCAGAGATGTCATTTTTCCTTTTCACCTTTTTTCACTGGGCTCCAGGAATATCTTGATTTTGGGCAGAGATCCCCTCTGCTATAGTTCTGTTTGCAAGAGGATTTGGAAGGAAAGGGCACACAGAACTTTCTATAAGGAGAACTATTCGCTTCATTTTGTGCCAATACCGGTAGCTTCATCATAGACTACTCATTTAGCTCTTAAATAATTGGTGCTTTCATAGAAGAGATTTTGCATTTGATGGGAATCATGCAATGCTGTTGTGTATAGAGAGTTACACACTGTAAAGAAGCATTTACTTCTGTAATTTTATACATCCTTATAAGTAAATGAATATTTTTGTTGCTCAAAGAAAATAAAGAAAATGAGAGTACCTTGAGATGGGAAGAATTAGATGATTCTGTTGCCAAAGCTTGAATCAACTCTTCTTTCTCTGATGCTAACTGCAAAAATACAACTTTTCTTGTTAATGTAAACGACTTAATATTCTGAACTACTCAGTGTGATTTAATATGATAAATTCATAAAACTCCTGTACAATCTGTTGTAAGTCTTAATGTTGTATGGACCGGGCCATTACTTACTTCAGTTTATATCTTTTTGGGTGTAATGGGCAAAGTTACTCATTTCTTAAATCTGTTTATGTTTAGTCCACCTAATGAAGGGCAACCTTGCAATTTCTCATGTTTTTCCGTTACATTTAAATCCCATCCTGATCTGGATAGAACAAGACTGCCGCCCCATTTTCTTATTCTCTTCTCCCCGTCTTCTCTATTTTCTCCTCTTATCTTGCTCAAAACACTTCATGGTATCAGAGCAATAGGAGTTCTTTTTTTTTGTTTAGACTAAAATCTGTTTTTTCTTTTTCCTCTTCTTTTCTCTCTGGAAGTTGTTCTACTGAAACCCTAAGCAGCTTGTGGGTCACTAAGGAGTTGGCATCCTGTTTGTAGGGTTTCTTCCTTGGAGAAGAGACCAAAGGAACCCTAAGCAGCCTTTGGTTATGGCCTATTAGGGTAATAAGAAGGAGTGAAGTCTGTGGACTGCTAGCGAGACCTGAGTTTCAGGTCTAGTTTCTGTACAGCAGAAGAGGCATTGGCTGTTGCAAGACAGTGAGGTTCTACTCCAGCAGAACTACTAGGAGGTGAAGAAGCTCTATGTTCTGCTATTCTGCACCCAGAATTTGTATGATCTGAATTCTGGACAGCTTCTTGGAGTTTTGGGCTGTCATCAGTCGTTCTGGACTTGAACTGATTACAGTCGCAGTCAGGTTTGTTGCTGAGACTGTTTCTTGCTTTCTTAAGTTAGGCAGTCAAGTTGGGATGTTGTTTTGTGCTGCTGGTGTCTCTGAGTTGGTGGTGTACTCCCATTATAAGGATGTCCTCCACTACTGAGGTCTCTTCCAAGGAAACTAGGTTAGGGGAGGGTCTTCCCAATCTTGAAAGCCCTACCCTACAGATTACTGACATTAAGTTGGATGAGTACAATTATGTGGACTGGGCTATTTCAGCTAGACTTGCCATAATCAGTAGAGGAATGGAGGGATATATTAATGACCAGATTGTTGAACCAAAGGAGCAACCTGAATATTGGGAAGAGGAAAAATTTTGGCTTCTCCATTCCATGACACCTAGGATCACTAGAACTGTGCAGCACTATGGTACTGCATACAAGATATGGGATAAACTTCTAAGAACATATGGGCAGAGGAAAAATTTTGCAAGGATATACAGGCTGAATGAAGACATTGCAGCCATGTTCCAAGGAGAACTCATTGTGACAACATATTTTGCAACTCTTGAAGGCCTTCGGAAGAACTTGCCCATCACTTGATATTGGACTGGAAGAGTACCAAGGATAAAGAGAACAATGACAAACAAGTTGAAGAATGGAGAATCTTCAAGTTTCTTGCAGGTCTGAATTCTTCTTATGAAAGAACTTGCTCTCAGATTTTGGGAAGGGATAAACTACTTGACCTTCAGCATGTCTTTTACCTAATAAGGAATGAGGAGTTGAGGAGGAAAGAGATGGGAAGTGAGGTTCAGTTTCAACCAACTGAACAATAAGCCCTTGTAGCTCTAAGGAAGGATAAGAAGTAATATAAATGTCCTAATGGTGCTGGCCATGTCACAAGTTCAAATGTGGTTGATTGTAGTAAGAAGAATACTACACCAAGTGTTTCCCTCCATTCTGGACCGGCTTCTAATAATTCCAGTCTCCCTGACTTTACAGCTGAGAAGGTAGACCTTCTGAACAGAGCTATGGCTCGTCTGGAACAGCTTTCATTTGCTTCATTTGCTAAGATAGGTATAGCTTCTGCCTTCAATGTTATCCAACCATCTTCCCCATGCCCCTAGGTGATTGATTCAGGGGCTTCAGGACATATGACTAGCGTATTCTCTTTGTTCAACTCATATTATCCTTCTCCTGACCAGGGCAAAGTAAAAATTGTTAATGACTCTCTTTCTAGCATTTCTGGGAAGGGAGACATTATGCTTGGAAATGATCTACCTATGAAATCTGTGTTGCATGTTCCTATTTTTACTACTAATTTGTTGTTTGTGTCTCAAGTTACCAAAGATCTAGACTGTTGTTTGACTTTCTTTCCCACTCATTGTGTGTTTCAGGACTGGTTGATGAGACGAACGACTGGGAGTGGTTGTGAGGCTGGAGGACTCTATTACCTAAATGAAGATATTGATGCTGCTATGCAGGTGTCAAGTGGTGGGGACAGCAATAGTCAGGAGTTAGTTACTAAAGTATTTTGGTGGCATGCTATACTTGACCATTTATCTTTTCCTTCATTGAACGTTTTGTTTCCTGAGCTATTTGAAAAGGTGTCATTAGAAAATCTTTTGTGTGGTGTGTCAAATGTCCAAGCATTGTAAGAGAACCTATCAAAAATCTATAAATGAAATTTCCAATCCTTTTGATTTAGTGGATTCAGTTGTGTGGGGCCCTTCTCCTGTTGTTTCATTGGATGGCTATTGCTATTTTATTACTTTTATTGATTATTTCTTTTGATGTATGTGGAAATATTTAATGAAAGACAGAAATGAAGTTCCTGGAATTTACTATAATTTTCGGTCAAACAATGCAGCTGAATATTTTGAGAGTTCCTTGAAGATGAAGGAATCCTCCATCAGTCATCTTGTACTTATACTCCACAACAAAACAGAGTTGCAGAAAGGAAAATCGCCACTTACTTGAAACTACTCGTGCTTTATTGTTCCAGCACAAGGTTACAAAGAAGTTTTGGTCACATGCATTGCTTATTGCCTCTTATCTAATAAATAGGATGCCATCCAGGGTGTTGTGCATGCAGACTCCATTTTCAGTCCTTTCTCTACCACCCAAGGTATTTAGTTGTGTGTTTTATCCATGTCACGGATCCAACGAGAACAAAATTGGAAACTAAGGCTATTCGTAGTGTTTTCCTTCGCTATTCTCCTACTGAAAAGGGCTAGAAGTGTCTTGATTCTCACACTGGGAGGAAGTCTGTTACCAAAGATCTTACATTTTTTGAATCCCAGTCATTCTTTGAGCCTCCCTGAGGTAAATCCTTTCTTGCCTTAGCCCGCCTTTGGTAACAAACTTCCTCTGAGGTAAATCCTTTCTTGCCTTAGCCTCATCTTGATTACTCACTTCCATCCTCTCCATCTTCTTCATCTGATCCATCTTGCCATGAAAAGACTTCTACAGCTCCTAACCTTGCCACCCCCCACACCACTATGCATGATGGAATGGAGATGAGTGTGTATAAAAGAAAAAGGAAAAGGGTTTCTTATGAGACTCACAAATGTACTTTGCACCTAACCCAAATGAAGTTCATGATCAATCGAGGGGCTCTCAACTTGGTCAAGGTATTGTTTCTAAATTTGATTTGGACTTACCCATTGCTCTACGAAAGTAGACTCACTCATGTACTTTGCACTGAATATCAAAGTTTGTTTCATACTCTCATCTCTCTCCTACCTATTACTCCGTTGTGTCTACTTTGTCTTCTGTTACTATTCCTTCCAGGTATTCAGAAGCTATTCTTGATCCCAAATGGATAGAAGCAATGAATGAAGAAATGAAAGCACTTTTGAAGATTAGCAACTAGGAGTTAGTGGATCTACCACATGGGAAGAAAACTGTGGGTTGCAAGTGGGTTTACATAGTAAAATACAAGGTAGATGGATCAGTACAGAGATACAAGGCACAACTAGTGTTGTAAAACGTGGGGTTACTGGTTCAGATCTGAAAATAGAATTGTATATATTCCTAGGATTGTGGAAGGATTGATTTAGAAAGTTTTTTCTTTCTATTTCTTTCTTTCTATTTTTGTACTTTCTATTTTCTCTTCTTTCTATTTTTTCTTCTTTCTATTTT